ACTTTCCCGACGTGCTGGAAGTGGCAGGTGCTCCCACCTCCTTCGATAAACACGGGGCATACCCGGGCATCAACGCGTGTCTCTTCCTCCTTTCGGGATTTGCTAATTCCGCGGCCGACGCGCCGCGCGGCGAAGAGCCCGCTCGCCGATCCACCGGATTGGTCGCGTTCGTGCGTTGAACCGTTCGGCGACGAGACCGATCTGTTTGGAAAGCGACTGAGGACAAGAGGCGCTCGTGTCGATCATTAATTATTGTCTTCGTTCCGTCTTCGAGGGGGACGTCTCGTGACCGGTCTCAATTTTCGATCGTTATGGATTCTAATTGGCCGGGATTGTTTCGCGGAGAGAGGTTGCGCGTCGATTATGACTCCTCAGGGTCACTTCCTTCAACGCTGACGGCTCGTGGGGGCGTGACTGATAAACGAGAGATTAAAATTCTAATGCCGGCGCTCGTTAGTGACTTCTGTCTCTTTTCTGATGCGCGCTCTTGAAATGGAGCGTGCGAATATTGTCATGTTCGGCTTGGTTTGGTAGGTCAGAGTGGAGGATTGGGATTGGGGATGAGAGCGTTGGTAGGTTTGTTATTGGTATAGTGTTAACACTAGGTTTACGGAACGCATCAATTTGACGCAGATTGAATTTTATGAACATTACTTGGTAAATGTTTCAATCGGTTTTCGTTGATCCAATTACACGAATACGAATACCGATTGTCTATTTCTACATCTACAATTTCCAAAATCTAAATGAACGAATATCAACTGCTCCAGGAACAATAGAAACTGTACAATAAATGCCCGTAAACCTAGTGTTACTTGAGGACTCGGTATTTGGGGAACTGGTGATTAACGTTTTGTTGGAGCACATGGTTCGACGAATATAAGTTTGAATAATACATCCGATTACGAGTAATCTTCGTGAATGATTGTTCTCACGTGCTCTCTTAAAACATTAAGAATTTACAGACTAGCACCGTTACCTTATCTCGAGCTTATCGCGAATTCACCATCATTCCGATCATATGACTACGATCCATCCGTTGCGAACAGAAACGATCGAGCGTATTAAGCAGCGGAGAGTAATTATCCGTCGGTGGAGAGTACTTATTAGAATCGTCCTGAGAAATTGATTAGAAGATAACGATCTCGACCGAACGAACGAGGTGTCGGAAAAATTCGAAACACGCGGCGATCTCGAAGAGTGATTGTTAAATTCCCGGCAAACTGAAACGGATTAACATCTAGGCACGATACCTCCCCGGCCGAACGCTCCACATTCTTTTCCCATCGGCGGCTGTCACTAATAATCCTGATATACGGCCGGCCGCTGTCAATAACACCGTAAGCCGTTGAAATTCGTCGCTGTAAATCGCGGTTACCGTACGACAGCGCTTCATCGTTGCAATCGGTGCAGCGGCGCGTTGTATCAAGGACGACAGTGATTCGATCACGTGCATACAACCGGCGAATCAAGCGAGCCGAAACATCAAAATACCGTTTCTACACGGCGTATCTCTGGACCTTAACTGTGTACCGATAACAAGTTACGTAATGGGCCACGCGATGTCTCTTAACGATTTTCGCTGCATCGTACAGGTGGCTCCACATTGTGACGCTCGAACTGCGGGATCGTTGTTCGTGATTCTAAGGATCCTAAAATCTAAGGAATTCAAGAAGAAATTAAGAAACTAACTATTCTGTTACTATAGTTTCGAAACATTCTTCGATCAAATAACACTTTAATCGCCGTCTACTTAAAAGTCTGGACGATATGAAATTGACAGGATTTAATTAAATCGCCGATTGTTCGGAGCACAATGAACAATCTGTCACGCGTTGGGCCATTTCGCTGTTTAGCCGTGTGCTCGAACTTGCGAATTAAAAATTCTTAAAAAATTGAAAATTCTTTTAGGGAATTATAACCTGACCGTGTACGTAACGAAGTAAGAAAATATCGAGAACTGAACCACGAGTTTGACTCGTGTTTATGTTTGTCACGAATGAAGTACCACGAGCCAGGCTCGTGTTGTTTACGTTTGGTCCGAACGAAGTACCACGAGTCAGGCTCGTGCTTATTGTTTTTGGCCTAAATTTCTTACGAGTCTCACTCGTTGTAGGACGAAGGGTTAAACTCTGAAAAAATTACTATACTTCTTATAACACCAGCAACGAAACCTAGGACGAAAGAAATAACGATTCTCGGTGTATCGTACAGGTTGCTCCACATTGCGATGCTCAAACTGCGGAATCATTGTTCCTAATTCTAAGAGATCCCAAAATCTAAGGAATTAAGTACTAAAGAAACTACTCATCGCACGTTGCCTTTAAAATAAATAATCTCAAGATAGTTTCAATGAAACATTCTTCAACCAAACCACACTATAATCACTGTCTATTTAAAACTATGTACGATATGAGATTGACAATATTTAGTTAAACTCCGAAATTACTCTACTTCTTATAACACTAGCAACGAAACCTAGGACGAAAGAAATAACGATTCTAATTTTATTCCTAATTCTAACAGATCCAAAAATCTAAGGAACTAAGTACTAAAGAAACTACTCATCGCACGTTGCCTTTAAAATAGATAATCTCAAGATAGTTTCAATGAAACATTCTCCAACCAAAGCACACTACAATCATTGTCTATTTAAAACTATGAACGAAAGAAACACCAATTCCCGTTCTAATAAACCAGAATTCAGGGATCGCATCGAGATGACTATCGCGAAATTGGTTCGAACTGGGTCTCGAAAAGCTTCCGCCTAGTTGCCAGTCGGACGAAGAGGATTTATTCGGTTTTTCCGCGGCGAAGCCCAAGATCAATTTCTTGCGAAGCCTCCGCGTTCGTGACCGGGTGGGAAGTTTAAGTCTAATTCCGCTGCTATTTGCGTGCATCAATTCACGTTAATGAATGCCCGGCGCCGGGTGGGGGTAACTAATCTCCGTGGCACCGCAAGCTTCGTATCACCTTAATCCGTGTACGAGTTTCGTGTATACGTGTCTCGGAGCCTCGGATGAGAGGGAGGTACACGTAGGAAAAATGGGGCGAGCATCAGCGAGCTAATCAGACGGTATTAAGCAAGTTCGATCGGCGCGAGGCACGTTCCGGCCAGCACGATAAACGTGATCCGTGTCGGGACACACACTTGGTACCAGCCGTTCGCTTATGAAACTACACGCTTCTTGCTCAATCTTCCAATTGATACGCGGATCATCGCGGAAAGATAATGATCGGATTCTGTGGCAACGTAAACCGTTGCAATTGTTCGACCGGCGGTGATGTAATTGTTTGACTGGCGTCTTTCATATGTGTTCCGAATTCGTCATCAGGCGTATTTACTTATGCGAGAGGAGATAATATAAATTTAACTTTTTATCTCAGCCCGGATATATTGTTCATTTATGAGAAGTTTGAGTTTAATATATACAAGCTGTTCACGTGTTTGAATCGAATTTTACGTATATATCCACGGATCAAGGATAAGTTATTTTTAAACACGCAGGTATTGAAGGATACGAGACGATTGTTTCGCGACAGCTGTTTCTAGCTTGTAAAAAAGTTGAACATTCGCATCTTAGCACTAGAACTACTGTACTAGTCAAAATGACTGATTTCGATCTTTTTGTTTAATTATTGATATCTTCGAAATTGAATATTCGCAATGATTTTGAAAATGGATAGCTTCATTTCAGTACTATAATGAATGTCTGAAGAAACTGAGAATAATCTATTGTTACAATTTTTATAGGAATTGCATATCAATCGTATTAAACGCTCGGTAGTTCTAGTGTTAGAATATTCATGTAGGTTGCGTTCGGTGGATCCGATGTTCGTCACACTCGATCGAAGATCTTTCGTGTCAGAGCGAGTTACCTTGAGTGTACGATAAAAAGTGGAAGCAGTGCTCCGGAGTGACATAAACATTCTTAATTACGCGTAACAACAACGGGCGTCGCAGTTTTCATTATCTCCCGGCGTGCATCGACGTAAACGTCGCTTCGTTCAGCTTCTTTGTAAATTCAATCACTGCGCATGAGACGGAAGCGAACTAATTATTCCGTTGCAAAAACCGGCGAACGTATTCACAGCCGGGAGCGTTCACGGCTACGCTGAGGTGCTCCGCGGTGGCAAAAAAAAGAAACGGTTCCGCGTACGCGACACTGTTTGTGTAACGGATACGCGACGATACGGGGAAACCACGAGGAGATAGTGTTTTTCCCCGGTGCGGACGGGACGCATCCGTGACGCGGTGTGGATGATAAGTCGCCCGGGTCAATGCCGGGCGAACTAACCTTTGCCAGGCAAAGTTGAGGCGTCAACTGTTTCCGAGTTGCATTCGCGACGCCTCGGTGCATCTTTCGTTGCCAGTGGACGTGACACGTGACGACGGGACCCGGAAGTGGCTCCGAAACAAGCAGTTTATGCGGCCGGCCTCGACCAGCCTGATCCCAATCAGCCAATCATCGCTGAATGCCCATTGTTCCGGTATGTTCTGACCAACTGTAACGTTGGAACAGTGGTTCCCAAATTTCTGTGTCTGTGCGTAACCGTCACGAAGACAATCACGTCAGTCAGTTCCTTCGTTCGTGAAACTCGTTATTGAATTACCAAATCCAATCTTCGAAAGATTGAAAAATTACCAGAAACGATCATTTTCACATCGAATTTCATGTCTGCAATGAATAAATTATTTTCTCTCTATTTACCCTTTGCAATCGGAGGTCTTTCACTAGAAATATTTTAACACTCTGATGAGATAAAGACGATATTTCGTGAAACTGACTCGAAGAGAAATCGCATGTACATTCAGGAACAAAGCTGTTTTATTTCGATATTTGTCAAATTGATGTGTTATACAAGATATAATTTTAACACTAAGACTACCGTACCAACTGACTGGTTTCAGCGTTTATTTCGTAATTATTGATATCTGAAAAGCATTGAATATTCGAAACGATCTTGAAAGTAAATAGTTTCACTTGAATACTATAATGAATGTCTGAAGAAATGATAATAATCAATTATTACAATTTCATAGGGATTACATATTAATGGTATTAGTGTTAGTATTAGTGTTAAATATCGAATTTTATATTTTACTGTATGAAATCAAATGATGAGTGAGTCACCTCGAGTGCAAAGGGTCAACCCTTATTCGTATTTCAAGTTGAACCACAAAGTATCGTTATATAGTAGAAAATCTTAAATTCAGAAGTGACCTAGCTCTATACTTAACGTGTCCATTGTAAACATTACAACAATGACAGTGATAGAAGTAATCAAATGACCTTCTCCGCCACAATATACTCTCAATAGTAGACGAACTCTCGAACGTATAAACCGTGCTTTTCATTTTCTCTCGATTCACCGACGATCGCCTCGCGGTCCACACTTTGCGAACCTCTGTGTTAGAACATTAGAAACCAGAATCACCTGGATACTGCCAGCCTCGAGCAGCGTAGCCGTACCGCCGAAGTCCCGCGAAAATATCGAGTTTATAGCCGGTCCATAAAGATCCCGAATCTCGTAATTGGAAGCCCGAACGCGGATGGATCGATGCCTCGCACTCGGGAAAGTGAGAAATGGATATCGGTGATTTCGGTTGCGAACTCGGCCAGCGTTAAGAGCTCGCGCGGTATTAACGCCGGAAATCGAAAGCTGCCGAGTTCGGGGTTTGAAAGGCTGTGCATGGCTATTTGATGTCGGAATGATCGGAGCTTAAGCTTTCAATGATACGGGGACGGAGATGGTGGAATGTTTGAACTCGGCGAGCCGGAGAGCTCAATGAGCGTAGTTTGAAAAGTGGGAGATGAGACTTGAGCATTTGAACCCGCCGGAGTTTCGACGTTGGGACCGCCGGCTCTGAAAAGCGGAAATTAGACGTGCACGCTTCGAGACGTGGATCTCAATTCGGGATTTCAAGATCTCGCGTGTACTGCTTAAAACTCCACTGCTAATAATAGAAATAATGCAACATTGGACGAAGGCTGTTCTCACGTGTATTTGGAAAATTAAGTTTCGTGATAACTAGTTTTTAACTAACTTCAGGAAGTGATAACGATTATAGTGGGAATAAATGTGGAAGACTGACTACTTTGCGTGGGAGGACACTAATATGCTCGTGATAATTTTACTGATAGTCTTGTCGCGTCAGGGACATACTGAACGGACATTTTGTTAATCGGCATCGCTACCTCCCGCTGATAACGAAGGACGCGATAACGTTATCGAAGCGAGAACGCTTGGGAGCGCCTAGGAATATGCAACTGTGTACTACAGTGCCGGCTCACGTTCAGGGAGAAGCTACAAGATGGCGGTGCTATGAAATATCGCTGGCAATCGTAGAAGTTACCAGCGATCGTAAAAAAGATTTATCAAACATTTATGTAACGACTTTCCTGCACTTTCTCAGTTACAAATGAAACATTTACTCTCCGAAACATTGATTTCAACGGGAAACAAAAGGAATGTTAACTAATTGATCCAGTATTCCATTCGAAAGGTTACCTGCGAAGCTCCACAAGATGGCCGCACATTTACGGGAATATACCCCACTAATACCTTCCATAAAACAAAAACTAAAAACCAAATTCTCACCGTTCCTTCGGAATTCGTAAATACCAACCATAGATTAAGAAAACTCCCATATTCGAAGCTGTTATCAAACCTAACCGAGCAACATCGAATTTCCAAAACACAACAAACCCAAATACTCCTCAGAGTCTCATCTGAAGTCCCTTGAAACGATCATTCCAGCTCTCCAACCGTTCAGAACGAAATGCCGGGGAACTCCAGATTCGAATACCATGACACAATGTTTGTCTTCCATCGGCAAGCAGAAACCGCCCCTCAGACGGGCCGACAAACACCCTCGAGTCCTCGAGACGCTCCAGTTCCACGGTCGCAATCAAGCCCGCGCCCTTCCGTGGGCGCGTTTGCTATCGATCGATCAGGACGCGCTCGTTGCCACGAGTCGCGAAATCGCTCGGTGGCCAGAGAAAGGAGGGACGGGACAGGCAGAGGGCGAAAGCGGCAGCGGCGGCGGGCGAGAGGGTGCAAAAACCCACCCCCGCGCGGCCAAGCTATAAGTACCAGACACGAGCCGAGCACGGGCTTATAGGTCCCGTTGCGGTCTTCCTCGTTCGTTCTTCCGCCAAGCGGTAAAGCCCGCCACCGAACCGACGGTTGATCTATGAATAGATCCCGAGATCTCGGACTCCTCCTGCCATTTTGATTGCGCGTCGGCCGGAGATCGATTGACGGACGGAACACGTGGAACGTTCGAGAGGTGCGGCATGACATGTTCCATCGATCGAGGACAGGAGTCGGCGGCCGCTCGATCCCGCGCGCGTAACACGCGGGGCTGGGATCCATGCTGATCGTGATGCCGGTCGGGATCACCTGAAGCGGACGCTGAAACCGGCGAGATGAAGAACAGCAGGTCGATGCTGGATATCGAGGACATCTGCGGATGCTCGATCATCCCCAAGAAAGAGCTGCCCCATTTGAGGTCGACTTCCGGTGAGTCCGCTTGACTGACAGCGACTTGTTTGTTTGACTTTCGCCGCTGATCGCGTCGGACGATCGCCCGGTGCTCCCGCGTAGATACTTCCGCGGAGTGGCTCGTTTGTTTCTTTTTTAAATCTCGTCGAAGCCTCCTTGGACGGATTCGGAGCGATTGCTGAAAGTTTGATGGACGTTTATTTGAATTTCTGTTTGCCCGGTCGGTTTAGCTTAGGGGCGAGCCTCTCTGTACTTGGCTTGTTATCGAGGGATTTTTCGACGGCTCGAAATTGTTAGGAGTCCGGTAAATAGAGCTCACGGCCGAGTTGCGACTGGCTCGAAGTTTAACGAAGTTTCTGTTTGCTCGGCGCTTTAGATCTACGTCGTGTCTGTTCCGTTGGCGGACGTCCGCGATGTTTCGAACGCGTTCCATTTGCAATTTAATTGTATAGTAGACTTTGACTTCAGATAATTCTAACGATGTTTATCAGATACGTCTGCCCGAACGATTCGCCCCGATCGAAGTCCGATGCTCGAGTTCTGTTTATTGGAAGATGATTTCCCGCGCGCAGCCGGCGTTAATATCGTTAAAAATTAACGCGATTTCCGGGGAAGCACCTCAGATGCCGGCTTACGCTCCACTTTCCGCGTCGCGGTTGCGACACGTGTCACAACACGCCAGCGACGATATGATTACGGCGACAGCGCGTCGTTAATAATTCATATTCGGGATAACGCGATTCGAAATATTGGAGGAGCGGTGAACCGAATAAGTCTCGTCGAATATTTCTCGTGGCAATTATTTTCGTGATCCTTTTAACCGTAGACTCGTACAAATTATAATTCTAACGCTGAAATCTTGATCATTCATTCGAGGAAATCGACAATATTCGTATTCGTTAGATCCGGAGAAACGAATCGTACGATGAAATACATTTCCATGCATCGGTTCGAATGCACAACGATTACGCCCGAGTTTCCATCAAACAAGATGGAACAGATAGAAGTAATAATGCACGCGTTCTCCAAAGAAAAACTCGCGGGATCGATAAAGCTCGCAATGTGACTGCTATACCCGTCAGCAACCTTGGGTGAAAGTTAACGTTACCAATACCTGTGACGTTCGGCCGCGTTACAGCCAACTGTTTCAAGCTCGATACCAATTTCGACGACTCTCCTCATTCCTCGCGTTTAATATTTTCATACTCTTTCCCGGAATGCTTGTGCAGGCCTCCTCGACTTGCTTCGCCGTCGCCCATTTGTTTTTCTTCCCTCCGCAAACATTCGTTCCGCGAACTTCACCTATGCTTCGGAAGTCGCTGAAGCCACTCGACTCGATTACGCACTTTTTCGAAGGCAGACTACGGTGCAGATCGGAAAATGGTTGGAAATTTTTGCAAGAATTCTCCAATTCGTTGGAAGAATCGCTCGCGGGACGGACACCGGGGCCCGACGTCACGGATAATCATCACAATCCACTTCATTCCACCGTCCTCGGCGCGGCAGCCGAATCCCGTCCGACTTTTACGACTTTTCTGATAAGAAGCAGATTTGCAACTCCGTAAAGGCGGAGTCGTCGTCGGAACAGCTGTTTTACAATCGACTTAACACGCGTGTTCCTCTTATAATCGAACCTCGTCATCGGCCCGCTCCAATGAACCACCGACTGCTAAATAATAAACAAATTACCCGGCGTTATCCCCTGGATTAAAACTCGTAAAGATCGTATAATATTCGCCGCGCGTTCCGCCTAACGATTTAACGCTCCAAATCGTTTTCTAAAAATACCATTGGGACTCTGTGTAAATATCCCGCGGTAGTCTAAAAATTCTTTCACGTGTAAAAGTCTAGACGTATTTTATCAATAAACTGTCTGATATAATGTATGCTTATTCTCTTAGCTTAATTTAAAGCACCTCTATAGAATGTTAAACGAAATCTGGCCGAATAGAAATACTTCCATTTAGAGACATTATCAATCTATTTCTAAACTCAAATCGCAGCGAACTATCCTATACTCCAAACGTTAAACAAAACGCAAAGTTCGTAATTCATATTACAAGTACCAATTAACGGTAAACCTTATTCGGACCTTAATTGGTTTACAATTCAGTTTACGTTTTGCTAAACAATCACCACTTGGTTTGATACGGTAAAATTACAAATATAATTATAATGCACCACTATATGAAACATCAAAGTAGAAACTAGAACACTAGAATTATCGAACACTTAATACGATTAATATGTATATTTTAATTCCTATAAAAATTGTACCAATAGATTGTTTTCAGTTTCTTCCATTATAGTACTCAAATGAGACTATTTATTTTCAAAATCATTTCGAATATTCAATGCTTCGATATCAATAATTGCTAAACAAAAGAATCGAAACCAGTCATTTTGACTGGTACGGTAGTTCTAGTGTTAATTTACCAGTTAAATTTGTTACATGAGTCGCAACAAGCATCGTATATTTTATCAGTCTTGAATATTCTTACCAAAAAACTTTCGAGCGCAAAGGATTCCTAATTTCTCACAGAAACGTCTGTTACCTTTTTAACCCTTTGCACTCCGAAGTTTTACTAGAAATATTTCAACATTTTCTGATGAGATGAAGATATTTTGTAAAATCAACTCGACGAGAAATTCACGTGAATTGGCGGACTAAGCTACTTTACGTCAATATTTCTCAGATTAATGCATTATATGCAGTATATTATTAAATATCAAACTTTATAGCTTCACTGTAGGAAATCAAGTGGTGACTAAGAGTCACCTCCCGAGTGCAAAAGGTTAATAATTGCAACAAGAAATCAGGAATCGGTCATTCTGACCCGTCCGGTGGTTTCAGTAATATTCTAATTTGTCACCGCCGAGGGGTGCGCGCCTCGTGCGACTCGCGCCGCGATTCAGCTGAAGTCCTCTATTATCTTCGGCTGAAAGGAGAAACATTCGCAGGGCGGAAGACTTTAATATGCACTTGGGAAGCGGAGTGCGCGCGAGTAAAAGGAGAGCACTCTTCAAAGGGTGCACCCGCGACCAACGTCGACCAGACGTCTGGCGTCACGTCGCCGAATCACGACGACCACACTTTTCTTTTCGCGGCGTCCCCCCTCTCTCTGAAAAGCAGCTGGTCCGTTTCTGGACCCTCGCTCGGAAGCCACGGAGATTCCTGCGGCCAGTTTTCCCGCCCACCCCTACAACACTCCCCACTCCAGTTCCCTCATTCTGTCCCGTCTGAAAAATAAGAATAGCTCTCCTCTCCCTTTGATCCCTCGCGTTCGCCGACGAAATCTCCTGGGCCGTCAGTTTCGACCGCTCTTCGGCGACGACAGCATGCGTCCTGCGAAATTCATTTTTGGAGAACACTCTGGACACTGGAGGATCGATGAAGCACGATTTCCGGAGGATCATTGAGAGTCTTATGGTATAGAATTGACTAGGAGACAAAGGAAACCATGGATCGGAATTATTGGAAATTTCAACAAACTAGACACGTTTGAAGAGAAAGGAAGTAGCAACTGTCGAAATGTGCCTAGAAATCAATGAATGAAACGGTAAAAATTGATTATAGCATCGATCATCTATAACCTTCTATCTTGAACAATTAGAAGCAGAAATTACAAGTAGAAAGTTTCAATAATACCATACGATCCCACAAAACTCAGACAACTATAACCAGACGAATCACCAAATATAAACAATTCACCAAAAAACCAAGCCTTCCTCAAACAGCAGCAAATCGATCCGCAACATCCGAAAGCTTCTGCAAAGGAGCAAGTTTATCGCGAATTGACAGAAATCCGACGAACGAAAGAAAACTATTCCAATTAAGCCTAGCCGAGCAACAAACCGATCGAAGTCTCGGAAAGCCACGTCGCGTTCTCCGAGTGTCAACAATGAGGATCGGACGACGTAGAAGAATCGTCGTCACGTAGCGGGCGTCCGTGACAAAAGGAAGAGGAGCACTTTCGCCGTCGCGATGCCCTTAAAAAGCGGCGCGGGTTTCCTCGTCGACGAAGGGAACGGCACGGCGTGGACGTCGGCCTAGCTCCGTAGTCCCGTCACCTCCACAGGGTGTCGCTTTCAGTTCCCCGGCTGCACCGGGCACCGAGGGCCCGGCAGGTGTAAGACGGCGTTTCCATTCACCGCGACGTAGTGTCGCGAGGCAGACACGCTCCCGCCGTCTCGAAAGAAAATCGCGCTCTCGGCCGGCCTGCCGTTGGCGGGACAAACAGTGCCGTAGCTCCCGGAGTCGCTACAGGCCGAATCCCTCCACCCGGTCGCGATCCGAGTCCCACGGAAGCAAGACGAAACGCGTCGAACATGAAAAGTGCTGCCATACGTTGACCCATAACGAGGAGAAACTGGTTAAAGTCGTCGTGACCGTCGACCGCGAGGCGGGCCAAGCGGGAGAACCTTCTGAGTGACGATTCGAGGACATTCACGATGTTCCCCGATCGATTAGAGATACTCGTAACCAGTGAACATGTGAGATTCGTCGATTGAAGTCGACGGAAGTTTCGGAGATCGTCGTGATTATGCTGAGATAGAAGACGCGAGAATGGTTTTCTTCGGGAGAAAGGACAAGCTGGAGGATCGCCGGCTGCTGGCCAGCCTCGACGCCGTCAACGGGACGAAAGTGTATCACATCGAAAACGGTAAAGAGAGTCGGAGGTATCTATTTTTCGATCGGCGAGAAACGCGAGGAGGAATCGAACGGTTCATTCGGCAGAGGTCTTCTTCGAACGTCCCGGCGAAAGAATCCGGGGAATCGTTCGCGCGCGCGCGATATCTTCGTTCCGTGAAATTAAGAAAGAAATATTTAGTTGACCGGGAACGAGCACGAGATTCCACGTCCTCCGGGAACTGCTCCTTCTCCGATGCGCGGCTTGTCTAAATATTATTCCGGCGCATTTATATCCGCGCATTTCACTGGACCCGCTACGGGATCGCCGCGTGCGAAACCACGTTTGGGGATTCGCTGGCTGTCATGGGAGAGGGGACTCGAACGGGGCTTTTCGCAGATTCGTAAACGCGACGACTCGCGGAACTTTGGCCGGATTTTAATCTTCGATGTCTTGGGGAAGGAACAATGAGATGGACACTTTGATTCGCGGCTATTCTTCCTTTGTCATCCGTAAACAAAGACTCTGAGAGATCCTTCGATACAAAAGGATTTTATCTCGAATACCTGCTATTACCTCTTTACAATATACGATGTGCGTGACGCAGGGTATGCTGGTACAAAGCGTTTCGATTCTTTCGATTTTTTCCTTTATGATCCAACGTTTAACACTGAAACTACCGAACGGGTTAAACACTCCTGGTTTCTTCTTTTTGCAATGATTAAAAAGATAAATATTTTTCTAAGAAACGATTACAGAATTTGATTTAGCAATACGCAAACGTAGATCAAATCAAGCTTCGGTAACTGCTTCGGGTTTCTATAGAGGAATTTGGAAACGTCGAAAACGAAGATGGAGGGTTTTAATTCTTTCGACTTTTTCCTTTATGGTCCAATGTTTAACACTGAAACTACCGAACGGGTTAAACACTCCTGGTTTCTTCTTTTAGCAATGATTAAAAAAATATCAAGTATTTTTCTAAGAAATGATTACAGAATCTGATTGTAGATCAATTCAAGCTTTAATAGCTGCTTCGGGTTTCCATAGAGGAATTTGAGAACGTCGAAAACGAATTTGATTAATCTCAGAGAATACATGTACAAATGATTCGTTCGCTGCTTGATTTTCATGCAGTAGCCGATTCGTTTCTCCGGATTACTTATTGAAGGGTGACTTTAGAACGAACTTAGTCTCGGTACTTTTGCAAGCCAGTTAAGTCATAGTCTGCGGTGAGAAATAGGTCGAGGCGTTCGTGATAGACGATACCGCGGTTCGTTGTACCGCTTCGCGTTCATACCGCGCCCCGATATTTACCTCGCGACGCATTTATCATGCAACCGTTCCGTCGACGTTGCTTATCGTCGCCGGTTCAAGTAGCTGGCTGGCTATCGAGAGCACTCGTGCCGCAAGTGCAGCCCGACTTTGAAAATTAAACATCGTAAAGCTTCCACGGGACCCATGTTCACCGACGAATCCGTTCCGAAACGCGCACGTTTCTCGTGGAACTTTTTGCGAAATTTCGATCGTAGGTTACCTAGTTCGAAGCAGAAGAATTCATCGACTCGGCCGAATGAAATGGAAAAGCCGACGCGGAGCTAGGACGCGCGCGGCTCTAATTAGTCCGAGAACTCGTAAAATGCCTCTAAGAAGCAGTCGTTAGCTTCGCGATAATTTCTTCGTCCTTGAGCTTGCTCCATTTCACTGTTTTGCTTTCCGTCCACTGTTTACCCCTGCGTGGATCGAACGATACCAGTGTTGTCTGGATGTTCGTGAGAATTGATGGATTAACGAGTGGCATTTCTCTTTTGCAAAGTGAACGTTCACGTTTGAATTACGTTGCTTTTGAAAATATATGGTACTAGGTTCATGGATATTTATTATTCATTTCTTTAGTTCTTGGAATTTTGTCGGTTGGACGATTGGGAAATGTGTCCGTGAAAAAACGTAGTCGATTGACAGAACTGGTAAAAGATAAGGTAAATTAAGCAATGCGAAGAGTAGACAATTAGGAAACTGTTTCGTGTAACTGGGTCAATCAAAATGGACGCAGATGTTTACCAAGTAACTCAGAATTCATAGAATCCATAGAATTGACAAAATTCTATACGAATTTATCAAATTTGTAAAATGTATAAAACTTATAAAGTTTTTCAAATTCATCAAATTCATCAAATTCATAGATTCTATAATTCTACAATAGTTCGAATTCACAAAATTCATCAAATTTATCAAATTCATAGGATTCTACAATTCTACAGTAGTTCAAATTCACAAAATTCATAAAGTCTATCAAATTTGTGAATTAATAAAACTTATAGTTTCTCAAATTCACCAAACTCATCAAATTTATAGAATTCCATAATTCCACAATAGTTCTAACTCACAAAATTCATCAAATTTATCAAATTCATAGGATTCCATAATTCCACAATAGTTCGAACTCACAAAAATTCGTTATCCCTGAAACGAATACACTCCGTGAACCTAGCGTCAGGCGGTTACAGCGTCGCGTTACGGTTAACGTAACTTCCCCCGTTCGATTTTTTCCGTCGAAAGTTGCCGCGTGCCGGGTCTCGGCCACCTGTAGCTTTCAGCCGAATATTGATCCGCCCGGAAGATGGCCACACCCGGTCGCCCCTCGCCGATCGTTCCCTCTTTCGCGCCCTCGTCCCGACGCTTCCACCGGTAGTGTCGTTGCCCCTCGCCGACGTGGAAGTCGCCCCCAGTGTTATGGAAAAGTGCGTGGTCACTGTTCCAGCCGCCTTCATGCACGTCCGCGACAACCTCGAGGAGCTGGGCAAGGTGGCGGACGACACGGACCTGCTATTCCTGAAAGGCCTTCTGGACAGTCCGGTCGTGAACTCTTTGGTGAAGGTGAGTGAACGTTCGGCACGCCGCCTCCGTCTTTTGCACCCTTTTCTCGCTGTTATGTCACCGTCCGCCGCGTCCTGCGATTCAACCGTCGAAATTGGATCAATAGCGACGTACAGATGATTTAATGGCTTGTGAATAATTCAGTGCATCCGTGGGGGATGATTTTAGGGTGGTTTACCTAGAATATAGTGCGTTAAGACATTTTTCAGTGGATTGATTGTCGTAGAGGGTCAACGTACTAAGATGTAGGTGATTAAGGGTTTCTGATTAGAATCAGATTATTTCGTAATTTGTGAGTGACTGAGACTATTTAGATTCCTTTCTCATAATGTTAGTATGCAATTGTTGATATTTTAGAGAGTGAATATTGAAGTGTTAGATTAATATTTTAGTACATTTTAGCATTCAAGTAATTGCAATTTTTCATTGAATTATTCTGTGTTCAACTTACGTGTCGTCTGTATTGGAAATACGTTGTTTTACCTTTTTATGCGAGTATGCAGCGAGGTGATTGCTTGTTGAATGCGAACAATAAAACTCGTCAATGCTCGGAACAGTTAATCATTAAAAAGCGTCCCGACGTATTGTTTTTGGCACAAAGGACTAAACAAATAGTTGTATAATGTGTCCGAATCATGCGCACGTTGCACGTAGACGCCGAGACACATGCACGTGCCACGTGTTTACTACGATCGCTGGATTTTACGAGAACGGGGAAGAAGGAGGGAGAGAGAGAGAGAGAGAGAGAGTGAGTTACAACGTGTGCACGTGAGTGAGGGAGAGAAAGAGAAAGGACACGGTCATTTACGATGGGTTCTGCTCCGGCTCACTGAAATTTCCGCCATCGCGGAGTGATCCTGCCACCATGAAATAAAAGAGGAAACCAACCACCGTTGAACACCGTGGATAGACGAAAATTCTCTTCCACCGTTCAAATCATTTTTTCTCTCGTCTCCGAAACATCTGTGATTTCTTCCTTTGGATTGCCGTTGAGGAAACGCGATTAAAATTCGACTTTTTCACTACTTTCCATCAATCATTACATCGTTAGAGAGACTTCCGCGTGTCAGCTATTTCGAACCCCACGCGGCCTACTTTCACTTCCGCAATAACGCAAATAATATCACGACAATTAAGAACGTGTATTTAAGGCACGACGTACGTTCGTTTAATTACTCGGCTATTATTTTCTACTCGTTTTCAATTATACTGAAAGTAAAGCTTCATACTCTCTTCAGTATTTTATACAAGATTCTCTTGAGTCTTATGTGAAATGAAAATTTTTAAGTATTTCTTCGTGCCATAAAATTTGCGCAAAATCAATCAGGTCATTATTAACCGTTTGCACTCGGAAGTATTTCGTTGGAAATGCTTAACATTTTCTAACTAGACAAAGACGATGTTTTTTGAAATTAACTCGAAGAGAAGGCACAAGTGAATTGAGAAACAAAGCTTTGTTATCCCAAAATTTCATACTCTCCTCAATATTTCATACAAAATTCTCTTACGTCTTATATAGAATTTAAAATTCTCTTATGTCTCTTATCAAACTTAATGTTCTAGTACTTCTTCGTGCCACACAATTCTCACAAAATTCCAAAGATCCGTCTATCAAAATTTTATATTCTCTCCAACATTTCATACAAAATTCTCTTATGTCTCATATAGAATTAAAAATTCTCTTATGTCTCTTATCAAACTTAATGCTCGAATACTTCTTCGTGCCACACAATTCTCACAAAATTCGCAAGATCCGTCTATCAAAATTTCATACTCTCCAACATTTCATACAAAATTCCCTTCTACCTTCCATAAAATTTCATTCTCGAGTATCCCTTCGTGCCATACAATCCCCGCGATCTTCACCAGATCCGTCCGCCACCGAAGAGATCGAAGTCGAAACGTTCCGCGCGAAGTAGCCACGATTTCGAACGAGTTCCAGCGTTTCCGAAAAAGACCGGGCGGCGCAGGAACACGAGATGCACGGGGAGGAACGTGAAAACAGTGGATCACGTGTCCGGGAACTTTCGTAGCCGCGTTATTTTCTTTTCACGGGGCGCTTGCATCACGGCGGTGCGCGCGTCCGCCCACGCCCACGCATTATTTCGGTCGCGACACACATTTCTCGCATGGATACGGGAACAACGCCGCGTCGGCCTTCGATGAAAATATTAGCGTCGATTGTCTGGGCCGTGGTTCCTCCGTGACGCCGAGCCGTCCGTCGCGTCACGTCTCCTTTCGTCATCGTTATATAACGCGTTTCCACGAAGAGAAAAGAAACCCGACGAAAAATAACGCCGACCGTCTAAACACGACGTTCCTCGAGGACCTAACGGGCATTGCCCATAAATATTGCTCGTAAATCTTCATCAAATTTATACTCATAATCTCTGCCTCTCGTAGCTCTCACGTGCGTCTATAATTATTACTCGATCGTGTTAGACAGATTCTTTCAGCCGGTATTCATGCATCCATCATCGTTAGCGTACAAACTCCTCGGGATCGGATTTTCTACTGAAAGATCCATTGACCTGTTAACCGTTGAATTTAGTTGGAAAACCTCTCGTTCTGCAATAAAATCGAAAAATGGAGGACGAATGCACGTAGAATATATTTTAATGAAAGATCAAAGCGAAACAAAGGAGGTGACTGAGTCAGTGCAAAGGGTTAAAAGACTTCTTTCAGGATTCAGAATCTTCAAGTTCCACTGTAAATACATGAAGAAAACGAGTCACCATATTGATAGATAAAATATCGATCTAAAATACTCGATTCCCGAATACGAAATTCGAAGGAAGGATCGAGAGATCCCAGCTACTTTCCGACATTCCAACACCCGACACCTCTGGGCAGCATCTTCTAGGTTATCTCCTGGAACACAGGACGCTCCTCGAGATTTCGAAATTCTCGAAGCTCGTGGATGGTTCGAATTATCTTGTCCCGATCGGCTGCGCGCGGACCGACCGTTCCTCCGGGACGTCGGGTCCCGTTCACGCGGCCCTCCCCTCACCTGTCGGGCCCACATTCCATCTTGCTCTTCGGCAGGTAGAGGAGAAGCCCCTCCCGGTGTCGAGAAGTCGTTAAGCAACGGTGTCCGTTTCCGGCTCGATGTTTGGTCAACCTGACAATGGGAATCGATGACAGTCCCGGCGGGGCGTCCGGCGATTTCGCCGAAAAACGCTGGAAACCGGCCACCAGGCCCGGAAAATTGGGTTGTTGACTCGGGACCGGGAACCTGGTAGCCGCTTTGCGGGCGAAGTGTGAAATTTTTGATTCCCGTGAGCCTTACAAATATAGATCGCTGTTTCTTTTAACGGACTTCACGGGGAACCATCGGTCATCCCTTAAGAGGGGCGGACATGAGGTTTAACCCCAGTTTTAATTGCAGGTGTGCTTCTTTGTCGAGATACCTTTAACCCCTTGGCTTATGATTTCTTTCTGAACTTTGATCAGGCTACTTTGTCATTAATAATTGTGGGAATGGATGTATTTGAGTGTTTGAATAGATATATTGATGAGTATGAATGTGTGTGCAATAGATGAATGACGCGACTGTGTGTGAGTGCGTTTTGAATGAATGTTCAAAGCATTGGAATATTTTAGATTGTATTGATTTTCTCTATATGTTAATAATGTTCGTTTTTTCTATGAATCTAGAATATTCCAAATGTGTGTGAAGTTAATGAATGGTAATGACAGAATGTTCTAGAAAGTGTGTGAGTGAGACACGTCTGAGTATGTAAATAGTGTGTGCGTTGTTTGATTTAGTTAGTGTTTTATTGTGAGTTGTCAGGAAATAATTATACTGTTTCTAATAAAATTCTCTTTCTCCTACATAATTTATTGAAGAAAGAAAAATTCTAAGCATATGTTATGCCTATATTTCCTTTTAAGTATAATTGTTGATTTCAGAGGTATAATATTTACTTTGAATTCGAATGAACTGAGTAATATACATATTTGTTGAATCATGTTGAAAATGTTTACCACGAGTCTCTTCACTAATCGTACCACGTGTTTTTATAACGAATCCTACCACGATGTGACTCTCAGTCGCTTGTGAGAATAAAACGAATGATTCAAATGTTATTGTTTTTATTTATAGGTCCCAAATATTAAGAGCCCAACAAAACTTATGGAAATGCAATATGAAATAATGAAAAAATTTAAGTGAACAGTTCAAATGTGACTCAAAGTCACATCGTGGTCTGGTTAGGGTTAAAAAGGATTGTTCACACTGCTTTCTATAAATTAACTACAATTCAAATGTATGTCAAACATTACAATAATACAGAGTTATCGAGAAGTGCAAAAGTATTTGTTCTAAGCTTGTAGAAAATGTTTTATTTCGAATTATTTAAAGAAACGAGGAGTCGGTTGTTTCGATTGATATTTTGTTTGCTAAATATTGATCCAGAGGGTGTGTATGTGTTATTATTTATTGTTTAAAGGTATGTGAAATAGTTTAAACTGGGAATTTGAAGGTTACAAGTAAAGTTTGCGTAAGAAGTGTTTTAATAACTGCGTAGAACGTCGTTCATTGTGATTAATTAGGAAGAGAGGTCGTTCGGGTAATACGAGAATTTAGATTAATAGGGCTTTAGCGAATTACTGCGAGGGACGTGGAGAGAACCGCGCCGTGATATGTTATCTGTGTAAATCGAATAGAAAGAAAGATTATCTAGATGAAGTGAAAGCTGCGACGACATTTAAAGGTCGAGGAGTCGTTCAGGCTGATCGAGTCTTCAGGGTGTCGTGTTCCGAGCAACCTTCGTGAACTTGAAACACAGGAAAAATATGGAATTTTCGAATTTGTATTTCATATATGTTTTCATTTTATTTGCGACTTAGTCTCCTTAATATGAATATTTCATCTTGCCAAAATGACATTCGTTCGCAAAGGGTTAAAATAAACTTTCTCTTTTCAAACGCACTTTTCCTACATTCCAACTACTCAACAAATTTCCATACACCACAAGTGTAACAGTGATCCGTAGCCT